AAAAAAAAAAAAAAAAAAAAAAGACATAAATAAATAAATAAATAAATGCAGGAACTCCAGATCATCTCACAAGGAAGGGAGTGGGAAGATGGACTCGCCACTGAGAGGCAGGCATGGGTAGAAGATACAAGCACATGTAGATGCCCTTGGCTTACCACAGGTGACAACCCAACAAACCCACCCTAAGCTCCAAATATCATGAATCACTTAACAGTTTACCCTGAGCATCACTCAGGCAGCTCATTTGTTTATGTACTATCTTGAGCGTCGCTTAGGCAGGTGTTATTTCAACCAGTCTACTCTGGTATTGAATAAACTTGATAAATTTGTTGCTTTTATATTTCCTGTTACCTTATAAAAACTAATGAAAGAATATGCAATTTGAGGGCTAGGGATATAGCTCAGTGGCATAAGCGCCTGCCTGGCAAGCGCAAGATCATGAGTTTGATCCCCGGTACCACAAAAAAAAAAAAAAAAAAGATTATGCATTTTTGGTCCTTCTATATTTAAATAATTGGACTGATAAGTGGATAAGTAAAAAATGCATTTATTAAGCCAGCTGTGGTAATGCATGTTTGCAATCCTAGCGCTTAGTAGGCTGAGGCAGGAGGACTGCTGTAAGTTCAAGGCCAGCCTGAACTATAAAGTGAGACCCTGTCTCCAAACACAGATGCATTTACTATATCTACCGTACCAAACACCACAGCATGGCAACACTGCACATAGAGTATTAATTGTTCCCCTTGGACTGTAGTTTGCTGACCCCGCTCGAGACTGAAGGACAGTATTGTAATACATATCCTAGCTTAGGAAAAGTTCGAAATTCGAAGTCTGATTTCTGCTGAATGCATACAGCTTTCACAGCATCTGAGTTGGCAATTCGTAAGTCAAGTTATCATAAGCCAGGGACCATCAGTTCACAAGGGTCAGAGAAGGAGTACCTGGGCCTCCTCTGGCTGCTACCTAGCTACTGACATCTGAACAAGTCTCTTCACTTTTCTCTGAGATTGCTTTTCATCAGCAGCAGAAGAAGAGGGTGTTTGAAAATGTGGGGCATGGGGCAGGGGTTACCAGCGTCTTACGTTTCCGGGCCAAGGATGCCAAATGTCCTGCACGTCAAAGAACTGTCCCAACTAAAATGCCAATAAGCTCTTACTGAGAAATCCTTCCTAGGTTAGAACCAAGGCTCTCCCAAACCTCTTGGTACTAGGATCCTCTGCTGAGAACATCATCCGGTCAAGAGAAACAGGCTGCAACAGCACTAGGGCCCCTGGGCCCATCCCCTCTGCCACACAAGAGGGGGATGTAAAAAACAGAGCAGGCAAAGAGGAGAAACAACTCTGCAGGACAGCTTTAGGAAAGGGCAGCACAAGAACGGCCCAAATGACCTCTTCCAGGAGCCTCCAACTGACACAGCTCTGACTACTGGGCAAGAAATACAATGGATGGTAAGAAGGGACAGGAGGGCACAGGCCAGGGACAAGTGGTGCTGGGAGGCCCAAGGCCGTGAAGGAAATCAGGTAGGTCACCTCAGTTGCAAGAGGGACAGCTGGCAACCTAGAAGGGGCACAGCCCTCAAGAGGCTCATGTCAAGTCAGCCCCACAGAAGCAAGTGCTCAGGAGCAGTGGTTCCCCCCGCCCCCGCCAGCTGTCCTAGGCTGGGGTAAGGGTCCAAGAGTGAGCCAAACTCAACAATTTATGTCTAAGAAAGAAAAAATCTGTAAATGAGTGGCCTGAGGACACTGGGGGAAGGGTGGAGAGGAAGGAAGGCTATTTATAAATGTCTCCAGGATTCTGCATCGGTTAGAAAAGATGTCTGGGAGGAGCCGGGAGCAGAGTGGGGACACATCCAGGCAGGGAAAGGATGCCAGGAAAAAACTTCTGAGGGGAGGTCAGGGATGAGAGCTGGAACAGGGCCCTGGCTCAGACCAAGTCCAACTCCATAGATGCTGTGAGAATAATGGTAGATGGGAAAAGAAAAGAACAAGAGGGCAGTCAAGGAGTGGGTATTTGAGGCCTCCTGGCTCACAGCCAAGGCAACCTTAGGGCTAGTATGGGCGCATCACGTCGGAAGCAGCAGGAGGGCACACTTTCTGTCATTTTTCCTGAGCTCAATTTACCTTGAACTCCACAAGGGAGAGGACTCACTCCTAATCCACTCCCACCCCCCACTGCTTCTGTTTTGCTATCAAATGCTGATTTGAAAACAGCCTGGGTTGGGGTGGGAAGGCCAGAGGGTGGAGAAAAAGGCCAGGTTGGGAGCAAGAGGGCAGCAGTGGGACAATTCCAAGTAGGGAGCCTGAGCAGCCCACCAGAGGTCAGGGCCAGACTCAATTCGGTGTCCAGACATTCCCTACAGAGCCCAAGGCACAGAACAGAAAGGGAACACCCTCTCTCCAGGCCCATTTGCTCCTAAAACCCAAGGAGAGCCAGGAGTGGTAGTGCATACCTCCAATCCCAGCACTTAGGAAGCTGAGGCAGGAGGATCACTGCAAGCTCAAGACTAGCATGGGTTACACAGTGAATTCAAGGCCAGCCTGGACTACATAAGGAGACTCTGTCTCAAAAAAAAAAAAAAAAAAACACATCTGGGGAGAAGACAGAAAAATCAAACCTCAGAGGCTCAAGTATTCTTCCTGACTCTTCATCTGTCTCCTTCTCATCTTCTGTAACACACAGGGGGAAGACAGCAGAGACTGACATTGAAGCATACTCAAGAAAGAGCTCCAAGAACCTTCCGCCCCACAGCACTATAAATGTTTTGTTTTGTTTTGTTTTGTTTTGTCTTTTTGAGACAGGGTCTCGTTATGCAGTTCAGGTGGGCCTTGAGCTCACTTTGTAGCCCAGGCTGGTCTCCCAAGTGCTGAGATTACAGGCATGTGCCACCACGCCTGGCCACAGCACTATAAATGGAAAACAGAGGCCAGCTGAGCTGCGATCAAGGCTGAGAGAAATACAGGTATTCTGCTTCCAAAGCAAGCCCAGCCCCGTGAAGGCAGGGTGGGGGTGGCACAGCACACCAGAAACTGAAGGAGCCCAAACAGAACAAAAGAGAGCTTCCATCATTCTGAGTCAACAGCTAACCTGAGTTCTCAAATGAAGGGAAGCAAAGAAAGGGAATCAGCACTGAACAGAACAGAGATGTAGTCAGGCACAGTGGTGTCCGCCTGTAATCCCAGTACTCTAGGAGGCTGAGGCAAGAGGATCCCGATTCAAATCCATCCTGGACAATTTAGTAACTTAGTGAGATCCTATCTCAAAATAAAAAATAAAAAAAGCTGGGAATGTAGCTCAGTACAGAGGCTTCAATCCAGACAGACAGACAGACACACAGAGAGACAGAGAGTCAGAGAAAGACAGAAAGAGATGAGAGAGAGAGAAACAGATACACAGACTCCAATTATCATACATCTCAAAGCCTCAGGGTAGGCTGCTAAAACTCAGTTTCTCAGAGTCCAACAAGACACTGTCCATCCTTGCCATGGGAAGCAATGTAGACATGCTCATGTGCCCACAGCATTTGCTCCAATCCTCTCCACCTCCGTCCCATCACCCACGGCCCCTTACTTACAGTCCCACAGACTCTGACATCATGCAGCCGGCCCCACTCGTCCTCGTAACTGTCCACCATCATGACGCTATCATCCTCGCGGCCCAACTCAGCATTGAGGTGCAGTCGCACCTCCTCGCCCAGGGAATGCATGCCGACCGCTGGGAAAAGCCCATCTGGGGACATGGGCATGATAGTGGAGCCCACCTGCAGCAGAGAGATGGAGGGAGGATGTTGGCACCTGGCTCACTGTTCCACAGCTCATGTAATTCTCACAAGGGTACTTTCAAAATGATGCAACCAATAATTATCACACATACACTGGCAGATTAAAAAAAAACAGGCACAAAAAAGTTGAAAACTTTGCTAAGCATTCCTGGCTGAACAAGGTATCCACTGTGCTACAAGGCAAACACAAGGCCCCAGACTTGCTGCCAAGTGCTTTCAGGATGCGTGCATGTGTGCTGAAGCAGGGAAGAGCTGTGGCACAGATCTCAGGGAGCAGAGCTTACAGCCAAGGCCCAAGAAAGCAGTTTTCCAGGTTGAGCAAAAGAGGACAGAGGAGAGAGCTATCTTTTGTTTGCTCCTGTCCCCTTTCTTTACCACTAGCAGTCTCCCTTTGAAGAGGAAAGGGAAGAAAAATTAAAAGGAAAACTTGGAAAGGACACATTCTCACCAGTATTCAAGTATTCAGCTATAAAGAAAGATAAACTCAAGGCTTTTATAGGTAAATGGATGCAACTAGAGACCACACTCATAAGTGAAATAAATCAGACCCGCATGTGTAAACACCATACTGTCTCCCTAATGCAAGAAACTGAAAGAGTAAATAAAATCCAAGAGGTACAATAGATACTGTGAAAGGGAAAGAAACTGCTCAAAAGGAAAGAACTGGGACAGGGGAAAGAAGAAAGGAAGGAAGAGGAGAAAAAAAAAAAAAATATATATATATATACACATATATATATATACACACACACAAGATAGCTAAAATAATTGTACTACTAATTTCTATTGGTTTACTGAAAGGAACAGTTAATGCTTAACTGTCTAATCAGTTTTGCATACCTATATCTGCTCATCTGAGCAACTGCTTTGAAGACAATAATATGCATTATAACAACCATTGTTAATTTCCTATCATCTTGTTTTGAAATTCTGTATCATCTTCATTATTTTTAAAATTCTCTTTAAAATAAAAGTAAAAAGTAAAACAAAAAAAAAAACAAAAAAAAAAACAAAAAAACCCTCATGAAGACCTTCTAGCTTATATACTCATGCTGTAATCTTTTCTTTTTTCTGCTCAAAATATCCCCCCAAATCACCTACTTCTGGTCTCTACAATTTCTACTCATCTTCCACTGGCTACACTAACTTGCCTCTAGGCAGGCAGGGAACATGTCTTATCCTACACACAGGGGACCTCAGATGCATCTAAGACTGAACTGAAGGAGACAGGGATTAAGTGCATGGACATCTGGTCAAGCCCTAGCCAGCAGATTCTTCCCAGTCATTCCCACAATCCTCCTGCGGCTTCAAGCCACTCAATCAACCAAGGATTTCCCACTCACCCGTTTCCCATTTTTGGTGAAGAAGATCTGGGCAGTCTGCACATCGAAGGATACAGGCTCAATGCCACAGCCAATCCGGTCGCCAGAGTTGCACTTTGACCCGAACTGCCGACCCTTGGCTCGGCCATTGTACAGCCTATAGAGAAACGGCAGACACACAAGGCCACACCTGCCCCCCTGCCCTCCTGGTGCTCCCCAGTACCCTCCCCAGCTGCTGCCATCACTCTGGATGTCCTACATGAGCTCCACCCTCACCCCTAATCTGCACACCTGCAAGGGTAGCCACCAGGCCACTTCCTATCCTGATCAGAAAGGTCTGTGGAAACACCCCAAGACAGGTGAAGGAATGGGAAGAGCCATGCTGAAACAGCCCTTCCTGTCTACGATTCCCAAATCCATAGGAAAGGGGTCAGGTTCCACAAGGGCCACTCACTTGCCATCATCAGCATGGTAGGCAACAGAGTCTGGCAACCAGCCAGGCTGGTGATCCAAACTGTAGTACTGAGGGACCAGCCCCACAGCAATGGTACCGCGGACACCACTATCCACAATAGACACCTGGAAGGAAGAGAGAAAGCAGTTAGCAGGGATGGAAAATGGAATACACTGCTGGGAGTAGGGACACAGAGTTAGTGACCAAAGGTGACTGAGGCTCAGTGAGACAAAGGACTGGCAAGAGCAGGGGCCTACTTTACCACGTTTACTAAGAAAATTACTTCCAAGCTTTGGAAATAGGAGGCAGAGTGGACACTAGGCTTGGGTTGGGGGCAGGAAAGCACATGGGCCAAAGTCTGGTATATGTAACAGAGCTCACATAGGTAAGGGGCAAAAGAGTAGAGGCACTGGGAGATAAGATACCCAAGACACCTATCTGCAGGTCAGGGTCCATTCTACACTGCCCCTTTCCTAGTCAAGAGGACAGTCCAGAGGGAACATTAAAAGGCTTGGGTATGAATCTAGCAAAGGAGCTCCTTGAAGCTTAATGCTCTCACCCTTCATCTAACCCTCTGTTCTGCCCACCCACAGATCACCTCAAAATAATTGCTGTCCTTGGTCAAGGGTCGGGAAGCCACGTAGCAGCCAACTTCACCAGAGTTTCCATGGTAACTGCAGGAAAAATGAGGGGGAATTCCATTAGCTGTCCGGCCCAGGGTTAGTTGGAAGGCCTCGGCATCCCAACCCCCACCCTGCAAGGATCATTACAGAGACTGAATCGGGCCTCACTTTAGGATAGCTGCACACAAGATACTCAAGGTCACCCCCCCTTTCATTGCCTCCAGCCAGGGTCCAATCCACACCACACTGTGCAAGCTGATACAAGCCTGGCTTTTTCCGCTTCAAGGGGAAAGAATGCAGAGCCTCCCTATTTGAGGTCTCACAACCCTGTCTAACCTCAGTCCCTCATGCTGCAGCCTCAGCCCTTGCCTTTGGCTCTGCCCTCAGAGGAGCTGGAAAACAGCTGGTCTCTGTCATCTGTACCAAAGCCCTTCACAGACTGGAAGACAGTTACTCAGTCCCCTCTCCTCAGCTGTCTTGCCTCCAGGATACATAGTACTACTTCCTTCCCCTTTCAGTGACTTCTGTGAAAGAGACTTCCCAGAAAGAGTCAGAGAAAGACTTCAAAACAGAAAAGAGAGAAAACAAACACACAAACCAAAGGGTTGGGAAGACACTGGAGGTGGTGGGCAGGGTGCACTACGGAACAGGCATTCTCCCCAGGAGGAGACCACTGCCTCTGAAATCACACGCAGTTTTATTTGATTTACTTCCATGTGTGCGTAGGGGTGGAAGTGCTAGGGATGGAACCCAAGGCCTTGCACATACTAGGCAATTGCTCCATCAGTGAAATACACTCCAGCCTCAGTCCACTACCTTTGGAATAGCCACTGTTCACTGAATTCAGTTGCTGAGATATGGGCAGAAGGGGTTTCAGACACCCCACATACCCACAGTCTTCACCAAGAACCTAGTAAACTCCTGATACCCTGGCAGCCTTCTATACCTGACAGGGCCATTTCCAGTGCCCAGTCCAGACAGACCCCTACTGGGTCCCTTTCTTGCCAAACCAAAACAGAGTGACCCAGTGACAGACGCAGAGAGAAGCACACACTGCTCCACTCAGAAGGGCCTCCAAGGTCAAAAGGGCAATCTCCCTCCAGTGCAGTGTAGACAATCCCCTCCCTCTGGAAAAAAGCCCCCTTTCACTTCTAAGATCTGGAGCAGAAAGGAAAATGTGAAACCATTCCCCTAAGCGCACCTCAAAGTATCTCCATCTACAAGGATATGTTTGAACCTCTCCTGATATCGGAAAGCCCGGACCTCTCGAATCTCCCGGATCCGACGGCGCCAATTCAGAAACCGGTAGTGCAGGTTGAGGTCATCCATCTTGTTCATGAGAACAAACCTGCCAGGGGAAGAAGGGACTGAGGAGGACGCAGGGCCCTGAGCAAAGCACCTTCGCCTGCTCAACCCTGAACTTGGAGAGGGTACTAGGCTTGAGGTGAGTTGCCCAGATAGACTGCACTAATCCCCATGTTCAATCCTTTCATTCAGCATTTACTGAGCTCCTACTGTGTGTGCTATCTAATAAAATGGATGGCACTCCTAGGATTAAGGGGTTTCTATTCTCGCAGGGTAGGGGCAACAAGACAGACAATAAACAGCTATAACAATGTGAGCCAGCAGAAGAAAACACAAGGTGAGGTGACAAACAGAGTGACAGAATGGACAGTCTCTTTCGGAAGGTAACATCTGTGTTGAAAAGGAACTGAGCATGTGACAGCCCAAGAAAGAGCATCCCAGGCACAAGTCATTAGGTGGAAGGAAGCTGAGTGGTAAAGTAGGAAACAGAGGCCAGGGCATCTGGCGTGTAGGGAACGTGAGTGCAAATGAGTAAGATGAAAAGGCAGGGCCCAGAATGAGGCCCTACAGACTAGGGTAAGTTTAGATTTTGTTCTTTTATTTATTTAATTTTTGGGGGGAGGGATCTTTTTTTTTTTTTTGGTACCAGGAAACGAACTCATAACCTCGCACTTGCCAGGCAGGCGCTGTGCCACTGAGCTAAATCCCCAGCCCCCTTTTTGGTCTTTTTGAGACAGGGTCTCCCTATGCAGTTCAGGCTGGCCTTGAGCTCACTTTGTAGCCCAGGCTGGCCTCGAACTCCCAATGATCCTCCTGCCTCAGCCTCCCGAGTGCTGGGATTACAGGGGTGTGCCACATCGCGCGGCTTAGATTTTGTTCTAAGTGTGCTGGGAAACCTCCCGGGGGCTTTAAGCAAGAAATAATATGATTGTAAACTTCATCAGCTCAGCCAGGCGTGGTGGCGCACGCCTGTAATCCCAGCACTCGCGAGGCTGAGGCAGGAGGATCATTGCGAGTTCGAGGCCAGCCTGGGCTACAAAGTGAGTTCAAAGCCAGCCAGAACTGCATACCGAGACCCTAACTATGACAAAAAATAAAAAAATTTTAAAAATAAACTTTATCAGCTCTTAAAACTCGTTCAGGCTGCCGGTTGCGTAGTAGTTCAGATGAGATGGCACCCACTGAGACGGTGGCAGTGAAGGAGACACATGGGATGGTCCAGCTATGCAAACAACCCCACAGAGCCAACACATGAATGAATTCTTCCGAGACGCCAAAAGTAAGAGAAAAAAGGCGAAGCACTTTTGTCCTCCCATTCTGTGCGTCCTGAACAGCGCCTTACACACAGCAGGCGTTTAGTGAACCTAGGCTGCGCTGAGTCCCACCCCAGTGCCCACTGCCACTCCTCTGCAGTCCCGACAAGCCATCACACGGCCTGGAGGAGGAGACCGCTTCGGAGCAGCCGCCGGGGGCCCCTTCCGGTCCCGGGCCAGCCTCAGCCCCCGGCACCTGCTGGCGCCCGAGACCTAGGCGCACCTGGCGGCTCAGAAGCCCCTAGCCACGGCGCCGGGGAAGGGCAGTCGCGCCGGGCCCTGCCTCCGCCCCAGCCCGGCCTGGTCACTCCGGCCAGACCCGGGAGCGACGTGGCCCCAACCTGGCACTGAGACAACGCCCGGTCTCCCAGGCCTTGCACCAGGTTACGGCGCGCCGAGGGCAGGGGCCGAGGAAGACCGGACACCACAGCGCAAGGCCCCGCCCCTGGGCCCGGAGCCTCCGCCCAGGACCCCTGCCTCGGGGTCCGGGGAGACCTGAGGCCTCCGGGACCCCGCCCCCCGATCCCCGCCTACCGGGGCCGCCGCGTCCTCCTCATCCATAGGCCTCTCAGCTCCACTCACAAGCTCTTCGGCCGCCGCCACCACACACATCCGGGTCCCCGCCCTTCCTGTGTTCCTCGAGGCCCGCCCCTCCCACCCATCCTGGCCAATCAGCAGCGACCTCTGACAACGGGCACCTGCAAAAGCCAATAGCAGGACGTAGGCAGGGTGTGAGGCGCGGCCGGGTGAGCCGGGTACCTAGTGCGGGCCCGGGTTTGGTAAACCCGGGACCCTGGAGTGTCGGGGAGGAGACGTGGCGGCGCGAACGCGGAGCTGGGTGCCCCTCGCTCCGCAGAGGCAGTCAAGGGGCGGCTCCTGCGCGGGCCGGGGCATTGCATTTCCTATGGGTTCAGTGCTAGACAAGATGCTGTAATCTCTAAAGGAATGTCCTTTTAGTCCCGCTACCCTTATGAGATAAGTTCTTTTATCACCTTTTATGCCTGAGGGGCTGGGGATTTAGCTCAGTGGCGCAGCGCCTGCCTGGCAAGCGTGAGGTCTGAGTTCACTTCCCGGTACAAAACAAAAAACAAAACAAAACATCTTTTACTCGTGAGGAGCCAAAGGGTGGCCTCCGTAGCCCTTGCACTTAACAGTTAACATATGCTTTATTCTCTCCAGAGCTCCATTTCCTCTCATGGCCCTTCATTCTGGGAAGGACATTCCATGCCAGTACCAGGAAACTGCGAAAACCACAGTGACTTGTAAACTAATGCTTTTGAGGAAGAAGGGTTTGGTAAGACTAAGCAGAAATGGGATAGAACATTAAGGAACAGTAAATTGAGCACCTACTACAAGGCGTTCATCGTGGGGAGAATTTTTTTGCTTTGTTTTCATTTGGTTTGGTTTTGTTCGTTTTGTTTTGTGTTTTGATACAGGGTCACGCTATATAGCCCAGGTTGCCCTCTAACTCACAGCGATCCTCCTGCCTCATCCTCCCAAGTGCTGGGATTACATGCGTGTGCCACTACGTCCGACTCATTGTGGGGAGTTTGGACTCTTGGATTAGGACTTCCTGGACTTCCTCCCATCACCTAATCTTTTTTCCCCCAGTATAGAAAGATTCTCGGGGCCAGAGATATAGTTCAGCGGCACAGTGCCTGCCTGGAAAGTGCAAGGGCCTGAGTTCAATTCCTGGTACAAAAAAAAAAAAAAAAGATTCTCGGTGAGAGGCCAAGCTGGGGAGAGTTAGTAAGAACCTCCCTAATTGAAAGTAGGAAAATCAGAATGGTTTGGGAAGCAGGACTGTGGTTGCCCACACCTAGCATCTCAGCACAAAAGAACAAGGAGGAAAAAAGTTCTGCTTTTTTTTTGGGGGGTATCGGGGATCGAACTTAGGACCTTGCGCTTGCCAGGCAGTCGCGCTTGTGCTGCTGAGCTATATCCCCAGCCCTCAAGGGGGAAAAAAGAAAACAATATGAAAAACAAAATACGGAAGAGGCAGGAAGAAAGGAAGGAAGGAAGGAAAGCAAACCAAGTTCCAGTATACACAGCTGGCAGATGGTGTCATGCCCTGGGCAAGAGCCTGTTTCAAAAATTAAAACTAGCAATAAAACACCACCACCAGCACCTAGAGTTGTAGGATCCTCACAGATCCCCCGAAAAAGGCAGGCACAGAAATGCCCCAAATCACTCCCCAGAGCCAGCATTGACACACATCCATGCACACAACATCTCCAGTCCAAGGCCACCCCAAACTGTGTGGCAACAACCTATCTAAAAAACAAAAGTTAATAATAAAATAAAGTGTATGTTTTTTTTTTTTTTTTTTTGGTTTTTCTCTGGTACCAGGAACCGAACTCACAACCTTGTGCTTGCCAGGCAGGCGCTTTGCCGCTGAGCTAAATCCCCAGCCCCTTAAAGTGTATGATTATATAAAAAAGATTCTCCCTTCTCTATAGCATTTCATCACATATTACAGTATTTTTATTATTAAAATAAATGTGTGTGTAAATCTGTCTTTGTTCTTTTAGCCCACAGACCTATTCCACTTTCACCATAACAAGGTAAATTATGGCCAATTTCCATAATGAAAAAGGGTAGTGGAAATAGGTATAGTTAGGTGAACAGCCCAATTCTGTGTGACCGAAAGGTCAAAGGTTTACTATTCTCATCCATAAACAAGAATTTTTTAAACAACCAGGTATAGTAGTACACACCTGTAATCCCAGCGCTCTCAGAGGCTAAGAGAGGAGAATTGCAAATTTGAGCCCAGGCTGGTCAATTTATTACAACTGTCTCAGAATAACAAATAAAAATGCTGGGGATGTGGCTCAGTGCCATAGTTCTGGGTTCAATCCCCAGTACCACAACCTTTTTGTTTGTTTGTTTTTGTTTTCTGGAGACAGGGTCTTCCTATGTAATTCAAGCTGACCTTGAACTCACTATGTAGCCCAGACTGACCTCAAATTCACAGTGGATCTTCCTGCCTCAGCTTCCTGAGTCCAGGGATTACAGGCGTGGGCCACCACATCCATAATTACAGTTTTAAATAGCTCACCCGCAGCCCAACCCAGCCCCTGGGTCCTAGGTCCTTCATTGCTTTTCTTCCACTCCTCTTCCTGAGTTATGAAAACACCACAAGCCTCAGCTCCATTCTTCACCACACCACAAGCCTCAGCTCCATCCTTCCAAGGGGTAGCTGGAGAGGGACTGGCCTGGGTGGCTGCCAGAATCATCCATCCCACAACATTTTCTTTCATAAACGGCTGACTGGCTAGGATCCATGTGGAGAGAGAAGACAAAAGAAGGTGTTTCCAAAGTAGCATTGATGGTCTACTCAGGACTTCCTCCTCTTGGATTTTCAGGTATGGACTGGTTATTATGGTGAATTCTCTGTCCATTGGCATACTCAGGGCCTAATTGCTAATTTGTGCCTGGCTTTCCATGTATTTGATTAAACAGCTTTATGGGATCTTACCCTTACATACTTTAGGTGTATAGCTCTTATGTGGATACCCGTGTAAGTATAGCCACAATCACTATAGTGACCGTGACATCAGTCCTGAAAGTCTCTTCATGGTCCTTATAATCCCACCCTTTCATCCTCCCATCCCACAACTGCTTTTTTTTAACACTAGTTTAGTTTGCCTCTGTGTGTCTGTATGTGTGTGTGTGTGTTTTCCTGGAGATTGAACCTAGGGCCTTGGTACTGAGCTACATCTCCAGTCCTTTTTTATTTAGAGATGGGGTCTAAATGTTGCAAAATTGCTCAGGTTGAGGGCTTGTGCTTCTGATCTTGTCTTAGCCTCCCAAAGTGCTGGGATTACAGACTATAGGCATGCACCACCACACCCTGCTTCGCTTGCATTTTCTAAAATTTTACATAAGCGGGATCATACAGGAAATGCTATTTTGCGTGGGGGTGTCTTTTTTTATTTGGTGTAATTATCTTGGGACTTGCCCGTGTTGTTGCTTGTACCAATAATTTATTCCTTTTTATTGAAGAATAGCATGCCATTTTGGATATATCACAGTTTATCTACTCATCTGCTGATGGACATTTAGTTGTTTCCAGTTTGAACTATTAAAAATAAAGATACTCAATATTCATGTACATGGACATGTGTTAATCAGCTCTGTTACTGTAACAAATACCTGAGATAAATGTACCTAAAAGGAAGAAAGGCTTATTTCAACTCACAGTTTTGGAGGTTTCAGTCCATCCCCAGTTGTGCTCATTGCTTTGGGCCTGTGGTAGCATGGTCCATCATGGTAGGAGCCTGCAGCAGAGGAGGCCTCCTCACCTGATAGCCCAGTGCAAAAGACAGGAAGAGGACAGGCTATGTTCTCAATATCGCTTCACCGTCCTATACTGATAGGACCAGACTTCCAATGAGGCCCTACCCTTTAAAGGCCTTATTTCCCAGCAGCATCACAGGCTGAGGATAGTCTTCACTCCATGAGCCTTTGGAAAGGCACTTTTGCAAACCATAGTGGGACATTTTCTCTTGGGTACCTATTTAGGAGTGAATTGCTGGGTCATGTGGTAGATATTTGGTTTCCTTAACAAAAAAGAGAAAGAAAAGAAAATGAAAAGAAAAGAAAAGAAGCCGGTGGGGGGTCCTGGGAGTTTAGCTCAGTGGCACAGCAAGCTTGGCAAGCGCAAGGTCGTGAGTTCGATTCCTGGTCCTGGAAAAAAACAAAAAAACAAACAAACAACAACAAAATAAAAGCTGGGCGTGGTAGCACATGCCTGTAATTCTAGCACTCAGGAGGCTGAGACAGGAGGATCATTGCAAGTTTGAGACCAGCCTGGGCTACAAAGTGAGCTCAAGGCCAGCCTGAACTGCATAGCTAGACCCTGTCTCAAAAAAAACAACAAAGCCGGGTGTGGTGACACACACCTGTAATCCCAGCACTTGGGAGGCTGAGGCAGGAGGATCATTGCAAGTTCGAGACCAGCCTGGGCTACAAAGTGAGCTCAAGGCCAGCCTGAACTGCATAATGAGACCCTGTCTCAAAAAAGACAAAAAAAAAAAAAAAAAGAAAAGAAAAGAAGGAAGGAAGAAAAAAAAAGAAAGAAAAAAGAGAGAGAGAATGTTTGCTTAGCCCAATGCTACTAAGATATTGTTCTGTTTTCTTCTACAAGTTGTATGTTTTAGGTTTTCATTTAAGTATATAATTCCTTTTTATTTTTTTTACTTTGAAACATTTTTAGACTTGCAAAAATAGTACATGGAGTTCCATATACCCTTCACCCAGTCTCCCCTAATATCAATAGGTTATGCAACCAGAGTGTAATCATTAAAAACCATTAAAGCCAGGGTATGAACCAGACATAGTGGTGAATGTTTGTTATCTCAGCACTCTGGACAGCTGAGATAGGATGCCAAGTGCAGGGCCCAGCCTAAGCAATGATTTAGTAAGACCCTGTCTCAGAAAGAAAAGTAAAAATGAAGCAGAGGCAGGAGGATTGCTGCAAGTTCAAGGCCAACCTGAACTACATAGCAAAACTCCATCTCAGAAAAAGAAAGAAAGAAAGAGGAAGAGAGAAAGAGAGAAAGAAGAAAGAAAGAAAGAAAGAAAGAAAGAAAGAAAGAAAGAAAGAAAGAAAGAAAAAGAGAAGGAGAAGGAGAAAA